AGGACAGTGGGAGACCTCCAAAGTCTGGGGAAAGCCAGGAGGAAGTCTCGGAGGAGTCTGCGGAAGGGAACAAATCTAGGCAAGTTCGCGGCTGAGAGCGAACAGGCATCCACATGTGAACCCTACCTCTTCAGGTCATACTTCTGAAGTACTGGCTAAGGCGAAGCATTAGAGTAATGAAGAGAACATGCACGTAACCATTCGAAAGTCCGCGCGGTTTCCTCGGATCGCCGCGGAACCCCCTCCCTGGCGCGCGGAACCCGCCAAGGTGGTCCAGCACAGATCCAGGACATCCGCGCGGACCTTCGAACAAGTCAGCGTTTTCTTATTCGGTGTTTCGACATTGGGCGGAAGAGGGGGGGGGGGAATGGGGGGTCTGGCTCCGGACCTCTGCTCAGTGCGGCTGTTTGGAACCGTGCGTCCTCTGGGGAACCCCACCTGCTTGAAACAGGCGCCAAAAGCATCCAAGATCTACTCCATAGAGAGGGGGGAGGGGCAACACATAAAAACGACTAACACATACACAACAAATAAATTAACAACAACACAACAACAAATACAATAACAACAGCCCGCACCAATTGCAAAAACAACAAATAAAACAACGAACACCAACCATGCTTGTGCCGTGTTGTCCAACAACTGCCCCGTGATACAATGGAAGCCCATACCAAGAAACACCCTGCATTGCCTCCAAGGTGCCCTGGGTTTCTTGGGCTTCGACGGTTTTGCTGCGGAAAGCGCGACGTCCCCGTACCAGAAATCAATGGACGTCCTAGGGTCTCAGGGTCAGGTTTCTTGTCGAAGGTTCCTTGCGGTCGAGCCCCTGCTGCAGTGAAGACGGCATGACAGCGGTGCTGGACGGTTTCCCCCGGGGCCATAGGCAATCCGAGGAGGGGAGGAGGAGGAGGAGGAGGAGGAGGAGGAGGAGGAGGAGGTGGAGGAGGAGGAGGAGGAGGAGGAGGAGAGAGGAGGAGGAGGAGGAGGAGGTGAGGAGGAGGAGGAGGAGGAGGAGGAGGAGGGAGGGAGGAGGAGGAGGAGAAGGAGGAGGAGGAGGAGGAGGAGGAGGAGGACGGGTCGCCTTCGCCCTTCGGAGAAACCCTCCAAGCGGTGCCGGCCTCCTCCGAGAGGGGGCGCTAGCTGGAGCCGCGCACGCAGGTGGGCGCATGGCGCACGTGCCCCCCGCGCACGCATGCAGAAGCGGAACAGTCGGGGCGTTGACCTAAAGAATCCGAAATAAGGATCGAGGCCCCTTTTTCGCAAAAGTTGAACTTCGATTTTCCATGGAGAACCTTCGGGAAACCTAAGGCAAACTGCACCACAATCAAGGAATACCGAGCCCCTCCCCAACGAAACAAATCCTTCTTCATCGCCCCGACTGTACTTCTCGTCGGTCGCCGGCGCTGGCGGTCGCTCACTGCGTTGGGGTCTACAGTGCAGGCAAGCCCACAAGAAACCTTCTACAAGAAACCTAACCCTGAAATCCCAAGACGTCCATCGATTATTGGTGTGGGAACGTCACGATTTCCATAGCAAGACCGTCGAAACCCCGAAAAACCCAGGGCACCCTGGAGGCAAGCAGGGCGTTCCTTGGCATGGGTCTCCACTGTAGGTCGGGTTGTGAGGCGAGGAGGCGGGAGGAGAGGAGGGCGGCCGCGGCGGGGGTCTGCGGGCGGGTCAGCTGGGCGTTGCTTCATGGGGAGGCGATGAATTGTGGGGGGAGAGAGAGGTGCACTTTTCGGGCCCTAAGGGCCCCTTTTTGGGCCTGAAAGAGCCCCCTCAGGGGCCGTCTTCTGCGACGCCCACCAAACAGAAGTTCTTGACGTCTTCTGCGGCGGCCGAGGCTGAGAGTAGGAGTCGTACCAATGGGTGGCCCAGGGGCTGTGCAGTGCGAACCTGCCAGGGCGCAGGGGATGCAATCCGAGTGGTTCTCGAATATACTGGGCGCTCCGGGGATATGAGATTACAGTGCGAGGCTGAGCTGTCTGCGGGCGCGGGCCGAAGAAGAAGAAACAGTACACGCTTACACATTTGAAACCGAAGGTCATCTGGTCAGCTCCCGAAGTCCTGAACTCTTTATATCTCAATTTGCCGCCACCGTGTCGCGAGGCACGAGTTGGAGTGTCCTCAGGTCTCAATCTTCGGAACTCAGGATTGTGGGGCCCAGACCGCAGATTCTAACATTCCCTGCGGCTCTCCGCAGCACTTTTGCGGGCCCCAGATGGCCCAAAGACGGGGCCAAAAGGGCCCCACGTCACGAAGCCTTGAAGACGCTCCGAGTCGCCGAGCGATCGGTCCAAGACGCCCCAGATGGCGTCCAGACGGCACAAGAGGCTTCCAGGACGCTCCAAGGGAGCCCCAAGAGCACATCCGCGACAGTGATTGAGTTCCGATTGGTGTTCGTAAGATGTTAGTGTTCTTGCCTTTTTGCTCTTCCGACGCTCCAGAACGTCCCACGATGCTCCCAGCATCGCTCCAGGACGGCCCAAGGGGGCGCCAAAAGGGCCTCAAGACGGCCCAAGGGGGCTCCAAGACTGCCCAAGAGGGCTCCAAGACAGCCCCAGGAGGGGCCCAAGAGGGTGAACACGGACTGACTGTTCGCGCTTTACGCCCGCAGGCGGCCCCTGAGACCACCTGCAGGCCACCGAGAGGCCCCGAGAGCCCGCCGAGAGGCTCAAAAGAGGCCCCACGAGGCTCCAGAAAGGTCCACCAGAGGCTTGAAAACTGCGCCCAAGAGGCTGCCGAAAGGACTCCCGAGAGGCCCCAACAGGCAGCCTGGAGGACACTGACCCACATCCCCAAGCACGGTGGCGGGTTGGGGCCGAAGGCCATCAACATACGTCCGCTTATTTGCGCTGGACCCGCCTTGCTGTCGCTCGGACGTCCATTTCCCAGCATTTGTCGGTGCCGTGCATGTTTCTGTTGCTCGATGATCCATGATGCTCTTCGATGACTCTCGCCGAAAAAATGCACACGTCCGAGCGATGCCAAGCCGCTGGCTTTTGTCGTTTTACTTCTGCCGGCCTACGCCTGCTTCCGCGGACGGCGTGGGTACGCCGAAGACGGGGCCCTCCCAGGAACGCAGCAAAGAAGAAAAAAAAGCCACGCTGGCTGCCATGCGAGATGAAGCGTCGTCGCTCGGCCACGGTAAAGAGTGGAAGCAGGCATTTTCATCTCTCGCTAGGAAAATGAGCGCAAACTCATGTCGAATCAACGCGGCCCAAGGCACATAACCACGGGGGCATCAACTACTGTAGATGTAATTACTCGTTGGTCGAGACATGTTTCGTTGAAGGTCGCCGTGACGCATAGCACGCGACGGGCGATCCACGTACCGCGATATGCTGGCTTCTCCCAGCTGCTCACAGTACACCATACGTTGGTGTGGTTGGCATGAAAATGCGAAATATTTGCTGTGAAGAAGAGATGCAGACTGGGGAGAAATCACCGCCGCACCTTTTGGCAGAGTCTCGCTTTATGCAGCCATTATGCCCCGCGCGAGAAATGCAAAGTGGGCAAAGCGACATTCCGCATGCCGTGTGCAAAACCGAACCATCAAACATATTCGCACATCAAGCACGCACAGCGTCGCGACGTCGCCCAATAATCCGCCACCGTGCCTCCTGTAACGTAGCAGAATGCGTTTCTACATGAATCATCTGGCGTCGAGACCTCAGGAGGCCACCCTGGAGGAGGGCAGCTGTCTGGCCCAGGCCTCGACGTGCCAATCTCTGTTGCCTCCCCGCCCTCGCGGTTGGTCGCGAGGCACTGCGTGGGGCGCCGTCGGGCAACTTCGAGGCCACAAGATTGACCAGGGGGCCCCGCAGCAGCGCGGTGACAGACCGTGCGAACCCTGCCACAAGGGCTTCCGGTGGGGCCCCTCATGGGGCCACGAAACGTAAGAAAGGTCTGCAAAAACGGGGTGGGTGGGTACCGCATACGCATGGAGGGTGTCAAGGTATGCCACAGTGGAGCGGATACCGCATGCGGACCCTGCCACTGGGGCCTACGGTGAGCTCATCGTGGGGCCACGAAACGTAAGAAATGTCTGTCGAAATGGAGCGAGTACCGCATGCACGCCCTACCACTGGGGCCTTCGGTGGAGCTCATCGTGGGGCCACGAAACGTGCGAGGGGTCTGCGGAAATGGAGCGGGTAGCGCATGCGGACCTTGCCACTGGGGTCTTCGGTGGAGCTCCCTATGTACGGGGCAACGAAACGTGCGAGCGATGCGCGAAAATGAAGCGAAGGGGGAGGGATGTGAGGTGAGTGATGCGGGGCGCTTCTGATTCAAAACGACGAGGCCTCAATACCACAGGATGGTTGGGAAAACATGTGATAATTCAATATGGTCCTTCGGATTCTCACCCTCTCTGCCTTAAGAGCGTCCACGACGACCCAAGAGGCCCAACTATGCACCAAACTGACTCCAGAACGGCCCAAGAGGGCCCCTCTCAAAAGAGAGCCCCGAGACTGCCAACAAGCCCGACCCTGGGTCTATGGTGAGCTTCCAAGCCTTGTCGCGTGATTTTCCCAAATTGAGCATCGCGGTTGGGAAACGGGCCTCCAACAGGCCGCAAGATGGTCCCAAGTAATCATCTCTTTGGGCCTTCTTGGAGGTGTCTTGGGACGTCCCCAAAGGTACACCACGCGAAATGGTTAAGAAATCATGGGTTAAGAACTTCATGGTCTCGCGCCGGCAGGTTTCTTGATTATCATTAAGAAATGTCGAGGGTCTGGCCCGGGGGCTCGGTATGTGCATGAATGTGGGCCCGAGCCCAACCCAAGTGGGGCCCGAGCCGAATCCAAGTGGGGCCCGAGCCGAATCCAAGTGGGGCCCGAGCCGAATCCAAGTGGGGCCCAAGTGGGGCCCGAGCCGAATCCAAGTGGGGCCCAAGTGGGGCCCGAGCCCCCTCCAAGTGGGGCCCGAGCCGAATCCAAGTGGGGCCCAAGTGGGGCCCGAGCCGAATCCAAGTGGGGCCCAAGTGGGGCCCGAGCCCCCTCCAAGTGGGGCCCGAGCCGAATCCAAGTGGGGCCCAAGTGGGGCCCGAGCCGAATCCAAGTGGGGCCCAAGTGGGGCCCGAGTCCAACCCAAGTGGGGCCCGAGCCGAATCCAAGTGGGGCCCAAGTGGGCGCCCACACGACCCCAAGAAAGCATCAAGCTTAAAACATTTCCCCAAGGTCTGGCCAGCGCCGGTGGTTTCTTCAGCCGTGTGTCTAGGACAAGAAATTTCGAGACTCTGGCTGCAAAACTGTGTTTTCTTAAACATCGAGCGTGGTGTACGGTGGCTGGCCCAAGAAGCCCGGGTCAGCAAGGCATCATAGCTTGCTGGCCTGGTGAATCCATTCTCCGCCTCGAGGGCGTGCAAGAGGCCCCCGAGAGGACCCCCAAACGGCCATCGATGCCCTCAAGAAGGACCCAAGAGGCCCCGAAGACGGCAAGGGCCGAAGACGGAGGCTGCGAACGGGCCTCTAAGAACATGCATGTGAAGAATACACACGCGCTCTTCTCTCCCGAAATTGGCCCGCAGGGCCCCCAATGGGCGCCAGGCGCCCAAGAAGTCCCCTCGGAGGCCCCCAAATCGCAAGCGGCGAACTTATCCATGTCCACGCCCTCGCGGTCTGGATGCCGAGGCGCCATCAAAACGATACGCGGGGCATCCGCGAAACACGCCCCGCATCCGTGGGGGTCGCGGCCCAAGGCTCCGGCCCGGCCGGCCCGCGAGGCCGTGGATACTCGCAGGTCGGAAGAAATATGTAAAAACATGGGAGTCGGAAGGCGGACCAAATAGATTGGTTCCAGGCCCGCCCAGAGAGAATGACAACGCACAGCAAACGCAGATCGACTCTTGAAGTAGGTCGGGAATGCCCTCCTATTGGCGGGTTTTGGAAAACAAGTTAAGAACAGCCACATAATGCTCAAACATAGTAGAACAACATCGTCCCCAGACCATGTGTTGTTTTGCTATTCTTGGATATCCCCCCTGCAGAGGGACGTGCCTGACCTAACGCTTGAAGTAGATTGGGATCTGGAAGTCCAGGAATACCTCCTTTCAACGACTGAAGTGCACTGCTTCCGATCACGACCAGAAACTCCGCAAGAGAGGCCCCCGAGAGGGCCTCCACGTGGCCGACGGGCGAGAGGCCCCCCCACTCTGGTTAATCCATACCTCGGGCAGCCTGGCCTTGCGGGATCCCGCGAGATCCTGCAGGATTCTGCACCCAAGCCTGGGTCAATGCGACCCTGGCCCTGCAGGATCCTGCAAGCTCCGGCGCTCTGGCTGACCCCCGCTTGCAGGCTGCCCACCGCGCCTTGAGCCCCGAAGGGACCCTCCCAAGGAGTGGCCGGGGACACGCCGTGGCCTCCTGTCGCTCCCGCGAAGACGAAGCCGGGACGAGGACAGACGCGGGGGAGGAGGAATCGAGAATCTCTCAGATCCGGCGGCTCTGGGGGGCATCTCGGGCGCCGCGGCCTTCTCAGAGCGTTGCGGAACGCTCTGCGAGCCTTCCGGCGCGCTCTGGCGCGGATTTCTCTCCGTCCCAGCCCCGTCCGACCCACTGCGCCTGGCTCCACTCGGCGGCGCGCCCAGGGGGGGGCGGCAGAGGCCCGGACGGCTCAGAAGGCCTCTGGCCCTTCTGCGAAGCGTTCCAAGCCATCTCCGAAGCCGCGGAGGGCTTCTCACAAGGCCAGGGCTTCTCTGAGGAGCCCCGCCCCCTTCTGAGACGGCCTGCCCCCTCTCGGTTCCCCGCTCGGAGCGCCGCCGCCAGACGATGGCGGAATGGGCCAGGGCCGTGGGATCCGCCCCCAGCCCCGCGTCCCGCGGGTGGCAGGCTCCGCTTCGGTTCAGCGCTCCCAGCCGCTCCACGAGCCTCTCGGCCGCGGTCGCTTCAACAACCCTCGTCGCCAACACTGGTCAGATGGCCCAAGGTGCCGCAAAGATGGCCCAGGACGCGCAGAACTCGGCCGCCTCAGACAGCACCAGGACTGCTGCAGCATATCCTCCGGGAAGCCCAGCGAAGACCAAGCCGATATCAAAACGGCCCAAGACTGATCCGGGGCGGCACCAGGGTGCCCCGATACCTCCCAGGAGCGCGCCGAAGGCCTTTCTCCTTCTCATTACACTCCCCGTCTCGTCTCCCCGTCTTCTCCCCCCCACTTCCCTCCCCTGCTCCTCATTCTCTGCAATCTGACCGTCTGCTTCTCACGCCCTCCACTCTCCTATCCAGCACCCCTGTACGGCAGGTCCATGTCGTGCCGGCTTGCTCGATGATTCCTGACACCACGTGGATCGTTCCACCTTGAACGGTCGTCGGATTTTCCATTGCCAGATCGCTCCATACTGGCCGATTCTTGGCCACCAACGGCGCTCACCCTTGATCGCCCGCAGCGGGGTCGCAACGGCGTCGACACGGCACGAACTACACTTTTGACGGTCCGCGCAGAGCTCTTGGATCAGAGCTGGACCCTCCTCCCTGGCGCGCGGAGCGCGCCAGGGGCGGCGCCTGAGCCGCCGCCAGGGGGGCCCAGCGCGGATCCAAGAACTCTGATGCGGCCTTTGCCCTTCGCGCGGAGCGCAAAAACTCTGTTTGTGCAGTTGTTTCTTCTCCGAGGGGTCGCAACCGCGCGTCGGTCGAGGATCCACTGACCCGGGTCAGTCCCGACCCGGGCCAGTCAGGCCTTGTGGGATCCTGCGAGATCCTGCAGCAGGATCCCTGCACCCGAGCCCGGGTCGATGCGACCCTGGCGCCCCACGGGATCCTGCCAGCTCCGGCGCCCTGACCCACCCCCGCCCGCAGGCTGCCCCCCGCCTCCGGGAGAGCCCCGGGTCGGCCCGGCAAGAGCCTGCCGTACTCGGTGCTCGTGGCGGTCCTCCCCGTGGCACGCTGGGCTCCTGCGCCGCAGGACGGCGCGGTGCCGGCCGCCACGGCCCCACGGCTCGTGCGTGGACAAACGGCCCCAGCAGAGCAAGTGGAACTGCGAGAGCGCCAACACCGCCAGGGGCAGATTCACCGCAGCGTGCCGGAAAGAACGGAGGCAGACTGGCAGAAGACGCGCGAGCATGGAACCAGAAAACCACATACGCGCAAACTCACGGACGTCCGCAGACGGCTTCTCCACCATGCCCTCTCTCTCTCTCTCTGCACCGACGTAAAACGACAGGGGGGGGCGTCTAAGGGGGGGGAGCGTCGACCTGGCACCGGCGACACTCTCACGACAGATCTGCGAAGGGCTCTCCCTGGCGAAACCGCAGTGTCCTGGGCGGGGTGGGCCATCGAGCGCCTATCGGCGATCCATGGTCGGGAAGACGTCAGACTCGGTTTCGGAGGACTCGGGTTGGCCTGCTGAGGCCATTATGAGAATGACGAGACCCAAACTGAAGTTTGACGCGAACTCCCGCCGCAAACATCCCACGGAAACTGGAACGTCAAACTCCTGGACGTGCCCGTCAGAAAGGTCGAACAACGTAGGCGGACCCGAATTCTGGCGCACTGGAGTCTCACGCGTCCCCGACATGGGCGATCGGGGGCTCATGGTCGATGGCCGTTCATGGGAGCCTCCCATACCATCTTGTCGGCTCTTGCGAATCGGCGCTAGTCGACACTAAAATCGACGCTAATCGATGCTAAATCGACGCTAATGGACCCTAGATCGGCGCTATCTCATCGACTCCCAAAAACTCATCGACACTAATCGACGCTGGAGACGGGTTTAAAGGGGTATACCAGGCTCCCATGATTTGCTACCGACCCCCGCCCAACGCTGCCCCCGACAGACCCTCTCTTCTCGGGAGCGGCCAAGAGAGGGGTGTCCAAGAGGGGGGGGTGCAAATCATGACTGGCGGCATGTGCGCGGCCCAGCGGGGGGGCCAGGGACGTAATGAAATGAGAAGAGGCGGCATGAGATCTGAGGAAATATCATGGCCCACGCCATGATATCCACCCACCCCCTAGTCATCACCCCCCTCTTTGCCGCTCCCGATCTTCCTGCACCCCTCCTGCGCGCACGAGGCGCGCCGGGGGGGTCCCGCGCTGGGCGAAGACACGGCCCGCGGCCGTCCGCGAGCTCATGCCCGTGCGGCGTCCCCTACCTCCGACGCCCCGTCGTGTCCAATGCGGCGTGTGGGCGTCGCCGAACTGGGGGGGGGGGGGGGGGGGGCGATGATTGGAGGGGGAGGGGAGAAGAGCGCACGTCTCGAGACCTATAGAGGCCCCCCTCCTGGGCCCCAGAGTGCGGGCCCTGCAGGCCCCCTTCTCTCTGCAGCCCTCGCTGATGCCCCCCCCCCACTAATTAAATCGCCCCCGCATTGCGCGACGCCCAAGGCACCCGCCCCATTCCCCCCCGAGTCAGTCCCGACCACAAGGGGGGCACAGAGAAGCTTGGGCAGCGAGTCCGCTCACGCACAGCCGGGAGGCGCCAAGGCTTATGTTGCCCCCATCGTACTTAAGAACCAGATCCCCCAAATAAGTTCGAGCACCCAAACAAGTACCGAAACAGTGTCGAACGAGTGTCGCCTCCCAGGACCCGGCACGCAAAAAGCCTCCAGTTTCGGTGCGTTGTGGGTGCTCGAAATTGTTTTGGGTGATCAAGGCTCGACGAGATTCGTCCAGGGGAGCGGCCGAGACCAGCTGCAAGCGGCAGATTCCAGAACCGTCCTTTTCCTGCGTGCCCCCACTCTCGTCCGAACCGATCCTGCCCCAAGCTGGCGGTCCACCTGGCACTGCTTTTCGACGGTCCCGGGGACCAGAAGGGCCCTTACCCCTACCCCGGAGGGTGGAAACACGGCGCACCAGAAGCTCCGTCCTGATTTTCTCGAAGAATGTCGGACGTCAGGGTGGTCTACTGGTTCTCTCCAAGATCCGAGGCCTGAATCTACACGAGTCCACCGACTGGGGGCACTGGCGCGGTCGCCGCCGAATCGACGCGACACCAATCTACCGTACTCTTTTGGGCCCCAGGGGCCCGAACATAGATGTAGCACCCTGCAGTTGCGGATGCGAATGATCGGGTCGGGTGCAGGGTGGGTCGCGGGTAGGTAACGGGCGGGTCGCGGGTGGGTAGCGGGCGGGTCGCGGGCGGGTCGCGGGTGGGTCGTGGGCCGTGTCGCGAGTGGGGCGACAACGACAACAGCAGCATCAGCAGCAGCAGCAGCAGCAGCAACAACAACACCAACACCAACACCAACACCACTAGCAGCAGCCGCAGCAGCAGCAGCAGCAACAACAACACCAACAGCAACAGCGACAGCAACAGCAACAACAACAACAACAGCAGCAACAGCAACAGCAACAGCAACAGCAACAGCAACGACGACGACGACAACAACAACAGCAGCAACAGCAACAGCAACAGCAACAGCAACAACAACGACGACAACAACAACAACGACAACGACAACAACAACAACACCAACAGCAGCAGCAGCAACAGCAGCAACAACAACAACGACCACGACAACAACAACAACAACAACAACAACAACAACAACACCAACCACAACAGCAACAACAACAACAACAACAACACCAACACCACCAACAACAACAACAACAATCATGTTGAAACTGTTCGCCCTTATCTGCTCGAGTGTCCAATAACGCGTATTCCTCAATCCTTCGATACCCGCCCCTTTCGTCTTCGATCGAACCCCTTTTGGGAGGTGTGCCATTCTTCCCTGCAGGCCGGGCCCCGGCAAGCGGCGGGGCGGCCGCGGACCGTCGGTCTGGCCAGCGGCAGCGCTGATCGGCGGGGCGGCCTTGGACCGTCGACCCGACCCCAAGAGGGACAGACAGAGGACCGACCACGACGACGACGTCGACGACGACGGCGACGACGGCGACGACGACGAGCGAAAGCGAGAACGAGAGAGAACGACAGCAGGCCCCGAAGGACACGAAGTAGGCCACGAAGGGCGACAGTGGGGACACGAAGGGAATGCGTATGGGGCCACGAAGAGCGCGAACGAGCGGGGGCCACGGAGGGCAGATAATGCGGGGCCACAGAAGGCAACGATGGGGCCACTGAGGGTAGCAACTGGGCCACGTAGGACAGCGAGGGGGCCACAAACGGCGACAGCGGGGCCACGAAGTGCATGCACATGGGGCCACAACGGGCGCGAACGAATGAGGGCCACGAAGGGCATACGTATGTCCGGCCGCGGAGGGCAAGGACGGGGCCACTGAGGGCAGCAACGAGGCCACGAAGGGCAGCGAGGGGGCTACGAAGGGTGACAGCGGGGCCACAAAAGGCATGCACATGGGGCCACCACGGGCGCGAACGAGCGGGTGCCACCAAAGGCATACATACTTGGGGCCACGAAGGGCAGCGAGGGGGCCACGAAGGGCTGCAACGGGGCCACGAAACAAAGCGAGGGGGCCACGAAGGGCTGCAACGGGGCCACGAAGGGCAGCGAGGGGGCCACGAAGGGCTGCAACGGGGCCACGAAACAAAGCAAGGGGGGGGCCACGAAGGGCTGCAACGGGGCCACGAAGGGCAGCGAGGAGGCCACGAGGGGCTGCAACGGGGCCACGAAACAAAGCGAGGGGGCCACGAAGGGCCGCAACGGGGCCACGAAACAAAGCGAGGGGGCCACGAAGGGCTGCCACGGGGCCACGAAGGGCAGCGAGATCCCGATTTATAGGTAATCTGTGAGGGAGTCCTAAGCGTGAGCGCGACTCCTGGGTGCCTGGGTGTCGGGAGCGCAGCGCTTGAGTAAATTGCAAGAAATTCCAACGCAAGGGCGGTATTCGTCAGTACATTGCAAGCAAGTCTCCAGCGAGAGCGCGACTCCAGAGCGCTGGGAGAGCGATTCCTGAATAATTTGTAAGGTTGTCCCAAGCGAGAGCGCGATTCCTGAATAAAATGTGAGGAAGTCTCAGGCGGGAGCGGGGGTCCTGGCTACATTGAAATTGTGAGGACGTCTCAAGCGGGAGCCGTTGTTGTTGTAACCCGGGGGCCAGGGGCCCAGTTTGAGCATCATGACTTTCTCTGTCAAAAAATAGGGTGCGAGCGTCGAGGGGTACACTTTGATTGAGAAAGAACAGTATGCACCGGTGGAGGGATCGACAATACATATTCCTCAGAAATGAAAGTTCAACAACAACAACAACACCAACAACAACAACCATACTAACAGCAGCAACAGCAACAGCAACAGCAACAGCAACACCAACAGCACCTACAACAACACCAACAACAACAACACCAACACCAACACCAACACCAACACAACCACCACCACCACAACCAACACCAACACCAACACCAACACCAACACCAACACAACCACCACCACCACCAAACCACCACCAACACCACTACCAACAACAACAACAACAACAACAACAACAACAATCATTTAAGACTGGGGACACTCCGTTCTCACCAGTGCCAGGGTTTTCATAGGAGGCGGGCAATACCCCCACTTTGTGGGGGGGCCGGTTCAAGCTCTACCAAATTTCCAAACGACTCTTCGCCACCACCCACACCCAGCTTCCCGCCCTATGACGTTCGGACACTTCACTTCGTGGCATGCGGACGACCGTGGCTACTATTCAGGGCCCCGCGGCCGACGACGACGGCGTGCGCGCGCGAAGAAAAAACGAATGTGTCCAATATGGTATTATTTGACAGGGATGATGGCCCTGGCATGCGCGCAACCGTTGTTGCAGAAGTTCGAAGCACGTGAAAAAGTTGCTCGCAAGAGCCCGTTTGACAGAAATGTTGAAAAAATATTGGGTTTCCTCAGAAATCCGCAAGAGCGCGCAAGATGAATTTTTGAAACTTTTTTTTGAAAAAAACCATTGGGTTTTTTTCATGTTTTTATGTTAAAATCGCTACGAAAACTAAGGTTTTGGAAGGATTTCATCTTGCGCGCGCGAGTGTGCACTTCGTGTCATTTTTTTCAAAGGATTCTTGAAGTTCGGTTATGTTAGAACAAGAAATTTCATTTTATAATGTTTTTCGCAAGGGAAAACGGGGGACAACAAAACAACCGGATCCGGACACCCACGTTTTGCCTGAGACTTCCTCACGAAAATGATGAAAATGTGGCTGCGGCCTAGGCGCGGCGAGGGGGCCGCGCACCAGGGGTCCCAACAATAATTATTCTTTAGAATAAATAATGTTCAACAGCAACAACAAACAACAACAATTTTCACCGCAGAAGTCCCCCTTCAACCACGCACCCCCCTCACTCTGACAATATTACTCACTGACTCATGGGATCCTGGGACATCAACTGACGCGATGTCCGATGTGTATGAACTCCGGCCTCGGAGAAAAAACACTGACTGACAGTGAAACATCAAAAATCCGCTATTCGTCGACAGCGCCTCGTGCAAAATTCGCAGCGTCTAAAAGACCATTTATCCGCGACCCCGCAGAGCAGCAGCCTGTTCACGAAAGGAAGGGGACGAGGAGTAGCGATCGAAGGACACTCTAAGCCGAGGAGGATGAAAAAGGTATTCAGGAGGTGGAACATCGAGGCGTTTTCTGGGTTTCCCGGGGCCTGTGGGGACCCCAGAAAACTTCAAGTGCGCGCACTCACGGCTGTATACCCAAATGCCATGCGCACCAACACAGCAAGAAAGATTGCTTACCTGGGGGGAGCGGGTCCCGAGGGAAACGGACCCTGGACCCCGGGGCCTACTCCCAGGACGAGATCTTCATCCCGAATCGTTTTCTGCTGCTCCGGGGCCCGTAAGCGGAGGAGGAGGAGGAGGAGGAGGAGGAGGAGCAGGAGGAGGAGGACGAGGCGGAGGAAGGCCCCGGGAGCCCGAGAACGGCGAAACACCTCGGGACCCGTTGCCCTCGGGACCCGTTGGCCCCCCTGGCGACGTGGGCAACCGGAGCCAGGCATCGCCCGGCGGGCGCCCGGGGCCGCCCGTCGCCGCCTCGCGCGCTGGGCGGGGGGGGGGTCTTCGCCCGGTGGGCGCGGGAGGCGCCCTCGTGCGCCGACGGGGTCGCTCGGACTCTCGCCCGGGGGGCATCCGCAGCTCCGTGGCCGCCCGTCCCCGCCTCGTGCAGCCAACCCGTGCACGATAAGGATGCAAGGGCCCTGGAAGGCCATGTTGACACTCGGCGGCCAACGAACTTGGCCGAGGGTGGACCGAGGAGGCAAGGATGCAAGGGTACTCTCGGGGAGGTTGCCCATCCTTCTTTTGCGGGTTGACTGTCGGCCACATAGCTTGCACCACACAGACTGCATCACATACCCTGCAGCACGCACATTCCTCGGCAGGGAACAGTCGAACCTGTCTTCCTTGCCGAGGCTGGGCTTCTCCCCTCGCTTCCAAATATTAGGCTCAGATGTACTTCGCACTGCCGTCCACTTGAACCAAATGATGTAATGCCTACCAACTCGTTATTGCCCACCTCAAAAGCGCGTGCTGTAATAATCGTGTCCTGGTGGTACCATGGGGACGCATGCGCGCGCCCACGCGCGCACATGTCAAAGTCAGCCCAACACCAGTTTCAAACATTTCAAACAATCTCCCTTTACAGTGGTTCAAAGATTTGGCTTTCTCTGCGCGCGCACTCGCTGGAACCATCATACATCCATACATGTGTTGCCATTCCGTCGGAAGAGACCATGCGAGCCACGTGCGCGCGCACGTCGAGCACATTCAACAGTCATCGTGCACCCGCCAACTCGGTCAACCAGTATCATGCGGGCCTCATGCCCGTGTCTGCGCCCGCGCAGGTCGACATCTCCCCTAACCATGTGTTGTGAACATGTCCACGCATAATGTTCAAACACATAAGATTGTACCCGGGTGTTTGTTCAAGAACACTTTTGTCATACATTCGGACTTTCTGCGGGCGCGCACTTCCACATCACCCCCTACCAATCATACCAGTGTCAGAATCTCCACCGTCGTCATTACCACCCTCATCACCATCATCACCACCATCACAACCGTCGCCGTCATCACCCCCACCGTCGTCATCGTCACCACCATCATCAACACCCTCCTGGTCATGGATCTGCATCGGAAGGATTCTCGCATTCCTATACCAGTTGAGCGTCGCCAACAAGTTGCGGTCAGTTGGGGAGGGGGGTGAGTTGACTTCAAGATCCTACATGCAAGAACAATCGAACATCATGCACCATTAATGCAATCCGCCGGCACGTCGTGGGACCATCAGGCTGCGTGGCTTAGGCTTACTGATCCCTGCTCCAATTCAAGATTCAAATATCCCGTGTTATAGTCCTACGCTCTACTTCCTACTGAATTGGGCGATGGGCAATGACAATGCTGAACATGTCAATGCTGATGCCATTGTACCAAGGGCTGTGTTGTGCTGCTCTGCGCTGTGCCGCGCCGCATAGTGACGTACCAAGAGACACGCCACGGAACGTGCCAGGAGAAAGGCCAGGGGACATACCGCATTGAACTGTCCCGTGCGGTATTGCATTGTCGATCAAACCGTCCTTGGCGTCAGAATCCTGACCGAACTGATTTGGATTCTAAGCTCGAGCAGCCTGTACGCATACCTGGGGCTAGTTGTAATAGAAACGCGCGGGGCGCACGAACAGCTCGAGCTCAAGATCCGATCCAGTTCCGAACCCTCGCTCGAGACACCCCCACCATTTGCTCAGGCATAGAGCCAAGCGACGACATGTTGGATCTTCCCCTGTGTGACCTGGACGCGTGAAGAGAAGACCTGGTTCCGGCTCGCTCCCGGTTGCGCGGAGCCCAAATATGTTCACGCTTGTCCCGCTCTGGGGCATCGAGAACCTACGTAGTTTCACGCGTGCCCCGCGCTGGGGCTTCAGCACCCGGCGTGTTCTCACACTTGTCTCGCTCTGGGGCGTTCGGAACCCACGTGTTTGCATGGCTGCCCCGTGGAGCGCGGAGGTCTCTCCCCGCCGCCCACGTGGAGCGCGCGCGTGCCGCGGCCGAAAGCTGCGAGCTCCCTGTGCGCAGCAGCTACGCGCGCGGGCGCCGCTGCCCGGGCCCGCCGCCGCCAAAAAGAGCCCGGGCTGAGGCCATGCGGATCCGCCCGTGCGTCCCCTGCACGGTTTCCCCCGGGGCCGTAGGCGACCCGACGAGGAGGAGGAGGAGGAGGAGGAGGAGGAGGAGGAGGAGAAGGAGGAGATGGAGGAGGAGGAGGAGGAGGAGGAGGAGGAGGGGGGGAGGAGGAGGAGATGCAGGAGGGAGGAGGAGGAGGAGGAGGAGGAGGAAGGAGGAGGAGGAGGAGGAGGAGGGGGAAGGGGGGGAGGGGGGGAGGACGGGTCGCCTAGGCCCTTCGGAGAAACCCACCACCCGTTGGCCCGCACCGAGGGTCACTCCAGCGAAGGGCCTTTCTCTCTGTGGTGGCCGACCCTGGCCGCGGCGGGCCCGACAGGGAGGCGGGCCCCTCCTCCCCTGACGTGCCCTCCAGACTCTCCTCCTCCTCCTCGATCCTCCTCCTCCTCCTCCTCGATCCTCCTCCTTGGGGGCGTGCGCCGAGGCCGCAGGAGGTCACGCCTCATGTTGCTCCCATCGCACTCAAGGACCAAATCTCAAATAATAACTTCGAGCACCCAGAAGAGTATGGAAACGGTGTCGAGCGAGTATCGCTACCCAGGGCCCGACACGTGAAAACCCCTAAGTATTGGTATCTAGGTGCTTGAAATGCTTTCTGGTTTCTGGTGATCAAGGCCAAATTCGATAACGTCATAAGTCACGTTGAGGTGGGCGATCCTCCTGGCTGCCCTTCGGCAGCTGTCCCCGTAGACCGCAGCCGCCATCCACACTGGCCGCCTCCGCGCCCTGGAATTCGCCCTCGGTCGCGTGCCCGCCGTGGCGCTTGACTCTCAGCCTGTTTCGTGGCGGCCAGTGAAGCGGTTCAGCCACGGACGGGTCACTCTCAGGGGGGCCGTCCGCATGACCTCTAGATCCAGTTCCAGCATTCATACATTGAGCTGTATTTTCACGGATATAGACCGTATGGAACAATGACCACAGCGAAACTGACGCTACGGAGGGACGTCGCAACGTTTGCTGCCTTGTTGACGCTGCGGTTTCGCCGCTAGCAAACGCTACAAGCGCTACAAAAGCGACAAGAAACATTGACCGTCCATTCACGCGCACACCACCTGAGGAGAAAAGAAGCCTCACCACTCGATAACGAAGCTGGGGAGTCGGCGGGCAAACCTGCTGCAAGTCCGTCATCGCCGTGCCCTCGTGAACGACGCCCTGTTACCGACAAGGGAGGTCAAGAAGGGCTGATTCAGGTGTGCGGGGGAACCTGAGCTACCAGGTCGTCGAACCGAGGTTGGCTGGGGATTCCTCTTCCGAGAGGCCTCACGAAATTCCAAGGTATCTCCGGAGGCCCGAGTGGCCGCAGGGGGCCAAGAAGTCCAAGAACCTCGACCTTCGAGAATGGCGACGAGGACGGCGAGGTGGAGGATGGTGGGGAACAGAACCGAGCGCGTAAACGGTGCAAGAACATCGTCTTGCCCGGAGCTCTCACGCAGCCGGGGGCGAAGCACCAGGCGCAGGCGTGCTCGAAT